CGGGGGTGTTTGATGGGGACAGTGTAGAAGAAGCTTTACTCTGGATGACCCGGGGGTGTTTGATGGGGACAGTGTAGAAGAAGCTTTACTCTGGATGACCCGGGGGTGTTTGATGGGGACAGTGTGGTTTGATTCCGATCTGGCCTGTGCTGTATGGGTTGTATGGGTAATGGTGAAAGTTGCCCCAGTGTTAATACTGTCCCTCTCTGTTGCAGGTATGTGCATTATTTCAGTGGGCTGCTCTCTGGAACTATCAAGATGAACAACAAGCCTTTGTTCTTGCATCATGTCATCATGCACGGAATTCCTGACTTCGAGGCCAAAGGTGGTAAGGCTTCAGTTCTCCCAGAAAAATAATTCCTGAATGTTCAAAAGTGGCAGATTCAAAAGATGGAGGTTTATTTCTTCATGACTCTATCCTGGGGACCATTTCTCTGCTGCAGGATCTTTTATCCCTTGGATGTGCTTACTGGAGACAGTGTTTTTAGTCTATTCCCTAACCTGGAGGATCCTTAAACTCCAAAAATTCCTTGGCAGAGGGAGACTTCTGTGTTAGTGTTGGACCTGCCCCAGGCATCTCTGATACACCTTTAATCTTCAAAAATCTCCACTTTGGAAGACAGCTGTTAAGTTGAAATAAATAAATTGACTGTCCTCCATTTCTGGGTTATCATTTTCGCATGAGAAGAGAATGTCTTTTTTTTGCAGTTTACTGGATGCTCAGTGCAGGCAACTTCATCTTTTAAACCATGTCTTGTTTCTGTGGTCATTGGTCTGCGTCCCCTGGAGTGATATACAAGTTCCCTCCCACGAGATCCTACAGTCATACAGCACGGAAACAGACCCTTGGGTCCAACTCATCCATATATCCTAAACTGATCTAATCCCATTTCCCTCTAAACTCTTTCTATTCATGTACCCATCTAAATGTCGTAATTATACCAGCCTCTACCACTTCCTTTGGCAGCTCGTTCCATATACACTCCACCCTTTGAGTGAAGAAGTTGCCCCTCAGGTCCCTTTTAAATCTTTCGCCTCTCCTCTCATTGGATCATAGAATCCCCTACAGTGTGGAAACAGTCTCTTCAGCCCAACATGTCCACACTGACCCTCAGAGCATCCCACCCAGAACCCATCCCCCTATAACCCACACACCCCTGAACACTATGAGGCAATTTAGCATGGCCAATCCACCCTAACCTGCACATCTTCGGACTGTGGGAGGAAACCGGAGCACCCGGAGGAAACCCATGCAGACATGGGGAGAATGTGCAAACTCCACACAGACAGTCGCCTGAGGGTGGAATCAAACCCAGGTCCCTGGCGCTGAGAGGGAGCAGTGCTAACCACTGAGCTACCGTGCCACCCTAATGTTTTCCATCCCTCAGCCTGGTTGTTGATAGGCACAATCAATTCCCAGTTGGGTCACTGAAAGGTTCTTGCTTACTCGGCATGATCTCTGTCACTGACTTTAATAATTTTATTGCCTGAAGATGATCACTGATATATTCCTGCATTGGCTCAAGTGGGTTATACTGTTGGTTCTTGTTCTCAGCATTAGTTTCTTCACTCAGACCTTGCTGAGTTTTAGCTTTGGACCTGCCTCTGGTCAGGGCAGCAGCGGTTTCCACATGATACTTGGGTATCATCGCAGATTTCATAGAGACAGATGAGATCTTCGATCTCTTTCGGGTTCTCCCTGAAAGTGGCCACACAAGTAGATAGGGTGGTAAAGAAGTCATATGGCATGCTTACCTGTATTGGTCGGGGAATTAATTACAAGAGTCAGGATGCCATGTTGCAGCTTTATAAGACTTTGCTTCGGCCACACTTAGAGTATTGTGTTCAGTTCTGGTCTCCACATTACAGGAAGGATGTGGAGGCTTTGGAGAGGGTTTACCGGAATGCTGCCTGGATTAGAGGGTATAAGCTATAAGGAGAGGTTACAAAAACTCAGGTTGTTTTCTCTGGAGCAGCAGAGGCTGAGGAGAGACTTGATAGAAGTTTATAAAATAATGAGATACATAGACAGTCAGAATCTTTTTCCCACAATTGAAATGTCTAATACTAGGGGGCATACATTTAAGGTGAGAGGGGGAAAGTTCAAAGGAGATGTGAGGGGTGAGTTTTTTAACACAGTGAGTGATAGGAGTCTGGAACACGCTGCCATGGGTTGTGGTGGAGGCATATACAATAGGGGCATTTAAAGGACTTTTAGATAAGTGCATGAATATGCAAGGAATGAAGGGATATGGACCAATGGCAAGCAGGTGAGATTAGTATAATTGGGCATCATGTTCAGCACAGCATTGTGGGCCAAAGGGCCTGTTCCTGTGCTGTATTGTTCTGTGTTCTCTGGTCACTAATCTACTGACCGACGGCCAGCTGTACACCTGGCAATTCCCAAGTGTCCCCATCCTTTCCCATCTGCCTTTCCAAAGACAAGCTGGAATAACAGTCCTGTCTCCATACGCTAGTGAATCGATCATGAGTGTGAAATGCTGTTGTTGTCCAAGGTTAGTATTGTCGGCCAACTCACCAGACAATTACACTGGCTGTTCTTCAGCATGATACTGACAAATGGTAGCACAGTCTGGGACATGATGTGCTCTGGCCAAATTTAACTTATTGGCCACTGACTCCTGGCTGTGTAAAATATTTCTTTTATGCCATCATTTTCTTTATGGAGCTTTCTGGAGTTTTCCCTGTTTTTCAATTGGATCAATGTTTCCCATTTTTTTAATGGTATAAAACACCAACTGCACTTTTTCATCCAAATTTTTAAATAATGTTTTTTGCCTAAGGTTTTTAGTAAGTCTTTCCATCAAAACCACAACGTAATTACTGAGCCCTTGTCCCTTTTATATGTTCAACTTTCCCTGACTTTTCTTCGGTGCTAGACTTTCACCAGATTTCTTTAACTTTGCTCGATTTTGCCTTAAATAAATTCTGAGGCCTTCCCTGTTGGGTAGCTCTGAGTGTAAATGTATTTTTTGGCCCTGTCACTATTCCTTCCGGCTGTACCCCATGGAGACAATGTAGAATGATGAAAGGACCAGGGATAAACTTTCCTTTACACTCTCTTGCCTTCCCTTTCTGGGAATTACACCATTTTTCATAAAGATATTCCCTTTTCCCTCAGGGATCTCTAACTTTACATCCTGGAGCATTCAGTTCCTCCATGCAGACTCTCTTTCACTAAGGCCTCTGTATTGTCTGAACGTTGATGGCTTTCTTTCTCTAGTCCCCGATGATTCTTACCAGCTTCTGAATGAAGTTTGCCTTTGGAGTTTCGAGCTGGCGAGTTTGCTGTTGTCTCTCTCTGTTGGTGATTGTGTTCCAGCCGTTGATTCATGGTGGGTCTTCTTAAAGGGGGAAACTCACTTGCTTGAGATTTTTCCTTTTCTTCTGGGTCCTGTATATTTCTTAACCCATGTGGGAGGAGTCAGATCTATACCGATGCCACCATGTCCTATTTTCCCTGATGGTCACTCCTGGCACCTCGTGGTAATTTTCATCTCCACCAGTGGATGTGGTACTGGGTGAGGGGTGTTTGGGGTAGTTCACTTCCAGCAATCATCATTTGGCTTGGCTTTGTCTTCGATCTATCCTGTGATTAGTGATAGAGGATACACCAGAATGGGGGAGAATCTGCAGAAAAGACTTTGTTCTTAGACAATGAGTAGGTTTATTACATGTAAGTACAGCTACATTTGGTCAGAGCTAATCACTCAGACCTTGCGGAAATGCTACAGATACTTCTGCTCTCTCTGAAAGTGAGAGCTCCCCGTGCCCACCCTCAGACTTTGGGTGGCATCAGTTGGATGGGTGGAGCTGACTATGAACATTAACACTTTCAGAACCTTAGTGGTTACTGCTGAGACTGCAGGGATGAGGATGGGATCCTCCACATTAACAGGACCTTGAAGCATAGGGGAGTGAATAAATGATTGGGTTTATTCTGAGGCCAGGTAGCATTGACAAGTTGTGATCTCCCTCCAACCTACCTCCCTCCTCCACATGCTCCTCCTCCACACAATGGACCTCCAGAAACCTCTTCACACTACCCCTCTCCACACACACCCCCCTCCCCACATTCCCCCACTCCTCACACCCCCAAGTGGAACACGCCATCTTGATGTACCTGGTAAACTGGCTGGGCAATGGGACATGGGCAGGGCTCATTCTGAGCTCCTCATGGTAGTATTTGTCATTCATTGGCCAGCACTGCTCATCACTGCAGCTTACTAATTTACTTAAAATACCACCTCACTGTTTCAGGCTGGTACTTTTTGTTTCTGACTGTTACTCTCTGTTTCTGACTGTTACTCTCTGTTTCTGGCTCTTACTCTCTGTTTCTCTCATTGTTACTCTGTGTTTCTGACTGCAAGAGAGGCATTACTCTTCCTGCCTTTGGCATTGAGCCCTAGCACATCTGTATTGCCCTCGTCTGTGCCATTTTACCTGCTGTGCCACCTCCCAGACCCTCCCCCAGACAAAAACTTTGGGTGTCTGACTATCTGTTGCTAACTGGATCCCAGATCTGGTGATGAAGTGTGACAAGGAACACAAATCCCTTTGTTCCTTATTGACAGAGCACAGTTCCATAGCTGGCTGACTCTGATCTCCCAACCCAGAGTCCCAGTAGATGTTCTTTGTAAATTCCCGAGTAACTTAATTACCTTCATCACTGCAGTTTACCAATTTACTTAAAATACCACCTCTCTGTTTCTGTCTGTTACTCTCTGTTTCTCTCATTGTCACTCTCAGTTTCTCTCACCGTTTCTCTTTGTTTCTGAATGTTACTCAGACTGTTATTCTGTTTTCCTCACTGTTATTCTGTTTCTCTCATCGTTACTCTGTTTCTCTCACCGTTACTCTCTGTTTCACTCATTGTTACTCTCTGTTTCTGACTGTTACTCTGTGTTTTCCATACTGTTACTCTCTGTTTCTCTCATTGTTACTCTCTGATTTTCTTACCATTATACTCTGTTGCTCTCACCGTTATTCTTTGTTTCTCTCACTGTTACTCTCTCACCGCTAATCTCTGTTTCAATCATCATTACTCTCTGTTTCTCACCATCACTCTCTATTACTCGTACCCAACTTTTCTTTGACCTGATGATGCTCTTCCTCTGCTCCAGGATGTCGGCCATTCCTGAAGATCTACCAATCAATGCAGCCAGTTTATACGTCAGGAATCTAGTGAGTCACACTCGCAATATTCAGTTTTTCAAATTTTCATCTCTGGCTTCTCTTGTGCTCATTAACAAATATCCAATCATTATTCTTTCCTCTAAATCCCATGTATCAGCAACATTCCCGGAGACGGACAGACCAGTATCTGTATAACCATCGAGCCAGGCCTCATGCTCAAAGGAGACATACTGGTAAGAAACTATTGTAGGTTAGAGGCCGCAAAAGCCTTCTTTGACAATCTGATATTTAATCTCTTTTGCTCAAAATGCTAACTCCCACTGGGCTCCGACGGTGGTACAGTCCGCACTGACTCTCACTGGAGTACAGTCCCACACACACTGACTCTCACTGGGGTACAGTCCCACACACACTGACTCTCACTGGAGTACAGTCCCACACACACTGACTCTCACTGGGGTACAG